TGTGGTAGGTTGGCAGGGAGACTAAGGGAAGGAACATATTGAGAAGAATAAGAAGAGGTAGTGGTGGTAGTAGTAGTAGTAGTAGTAGTAGTAGTAGAAGTAGGAGTAGTAGCAGAAGTAGTGGTGGTAGTAGTAGTAGTAGTAGTCGTAGTAGTAGTCGTAGTAGTAGTCGTCGTCGTCGTAGTAGTAGTAGTAGTAGTACCAGCAGTAAGTAGCAGTACTAGCAGTAGCAGTACTAGCAGCAGCAGCAGCAGCAGCAGCAGCAGCAGCGGCGGCAGCGGCAGCAGCAGCAGCGGCAGTGGCAGTGGCAGCAGCAGCAGCAGCAGCGGCAGTGGCAGTGGCAGCAGCAGCAGTTGTTCTGGCGAACAAGCATGTAGAAGTTCCATGATAAAGTCTACGCTTGATGAAACATTCAACCTGACACAATGATCACAGTCGCATTGACAAGAAGTATAAGGCCAGGAGAAGAGTCAGTTCGGGGCCCACGGTTTGGCTTTAGGATGCTTTAGGTGCTTGGGTTTTGGCTTAGGGCTTTCGAGCCTGGATCTATAAAATGAGTAAGCGCGGAATTCGTTCAGATGAGTCTTAAACCCGGAAACCTGGATTCCAAGCATTGAAGTCGAACTTTTGTTGCAGCTGCAGTTGTCACTGTCGGACGTCAAGTTTACTTTGCGTACCTTATGCTGTTCTCGTCGTCATGTGGACCTATGTTGCTTGCCCTGGCTTGCGATCTGAGAATAAAAGGCATTGAATCGCATGCTGCATCCCAGATGTAACTAGCAGCAGCCGTCGCGGCGGTAGCGCCAATAGTTGCTATGAGCAACAGCAGCTGTGACGCTTTCCCAACCGGCTTTGTCGAAATCGGAGCTGCCGTCCTGCCTGTTTGAACCACCCGTTCTTGAATCTCTGGAGTGGAACTGTTTGGAGCATGTGGGCTTCGCATTCAAGGGGGGTTTGGGTGCCGGACAGCCTAAACCCCAAACCCGAAAAGCTTGTGTTCGCAAGCCTGCAATCCGTCATGACCAGGACTACGATTAGCCTACGAATGCTTGCCAGAGTTGCTTCTTTGCCTCTTGCCTTTCGCCCCCCCGGCTGCATTCAGCAGTGTTTGCTTACTTTCTTTGGAGCTCTGGGTTCAGGCAGGAGATCCGGGTTCAACAGGGACAATTACAACTCTCAGTCGGTACTTGCCGGAAGTGCGGAAGCCCAGAAATGCTTGGACTCCTTGAGCCGAGCTTTCTCAAGGTCTGGGTGGCTTGCACTTCCCGACGGCCGAAATCTTCCACAGCGGCTGTTCCAATGAGCGTTGCCTACTGGGGCCCTTGGCTCAACGTTCCGCGCTTTACCACCTATGCTGTATGCACCATCTGCACTGAGATTTACAGCACTTTGATGGCTGCATTGGCTGTAGCTCAGCTGCCCTGCAATGCTTCGCCTCTGGCGGGAGTTCTGCTGTACTGTGTGGGTCTTTTTGTGGCCGTGGCACGGGCCTACTGTGCCGTGCTCGCTCTCCGGCTTCAGGACGAGCGGGGCCTTAATGATTAATGTGGAGGCCTAAACTATTCCTTGTGCCACTGTAATGTTTTTTTTCCTTATTCAAGCCGGGACCAAAAAATTGGGTGTCATAATTAATGCGTTTTTGGGGGACCGGATTTTCGTTTGGTTGTGCTGCTTCCCTTCTAGTAATGGTCAATCTTAAAGCAGCCACGACCTAAAACCCCAATTCCATTCCAACTTAGTCAAAGCCACCCAGACCCCAGGCGATCCCCCAATTTCCTTCCAACTTAGCCAAAAGCCACCCAGACGCCAAGCCAACCCACAGCCCCCAATCTACCGAAGCCTGGTCCGGCGGGTCAAGGGGCCCTCTATTATTTGCGCCGCCACATTACAGTGCGACTTTGGGTTTTGTGCATCATACTGTAAGGATATGGAGATCACCAGAAGAGACTATTCTTGAAAGAAACTCAGACAACCCGTAAATCCTAATTAGGCCCTAAACCCCAAAACCCCGCAACCCTAAATCCCAAAAAACCTTAAACCCCTACCGTAGAGGACGAGCTGAGTTGGGTCTGCCGCCGGCCCAGAAGCAAACCGCGCGGAGCAGTCTCTCAGCAGCCGGGAGGCTGGCAGAAGTTCCCTCTGTCTTCTGCTACTATAGGAACCTTGAAGGGGCTCCTATAAGGGTTCCTATCAGGGGTTGCTATAAGGGTTACTATGAGGGTTTCGGGTTTAGGCGTAAGTAGGAACCTGATTGAAAATCCCTGACTCCTTCTTAGGGCTCTTCGTACGTATGAATCCTAAGGTTATCTTGACCGGGCTCTTACATAAGAAGCAGGTTTCGTTTGAAGGTCTCCACACTATGAAGGCTAGCATATGGTACAGTATACACAATGTGGTGCATCATAACTTAGTGCTGTATAAGATTGTTGTGAGATCCTGCTGCAGAATAGATGGACAGAATACAAGATAGTATGTGGCGTCTACTGGACACCAAGTGCACAGCCACTCGCAGGTGCAGAGGCTTGGGATGCACCCCGAAACCGCCGAGCAGTACTCACAGAGGAGAAGACACGATCTGCCCTCTGGGGGCTCGGATTTCTTCAAAGAGATATTGTGGAAGATACTGTCCGAGATTTCAATGAGCCGGACGACGGAGATCCCTCGAAAGCTTCACTGGCCTGCCCTTTTCTGCCTGACTTTATATGTCCGGTGCTTCGCCGCCGGCTAGTTGGACGACGTATACTGGCAGGCCAGGGGTGAATGCTTCAGGGCTTCGGTATTGTCGGATGTAGATACCATAAGCAACCCTTGCTGAGCTGACCCAAAAAGCTCCCACCAACAGAAGCACATTCTGCTATCTCAACGACGGGGCTACCCCTGGCACCGTGTTGTTCAAGCATAACAGGCAGAACATCGCTTGTCCCTGGTCTATTGTAAGCTTGGGAGTTTCTGGCCCCAGTCATATAGTAGCCCAAATAACTGCCGATGGTTTTCCTCGGGCTCCCTATCATATTACACATCAAAGAGCGCAGAACCTTCTTCGAATTGTTTAGGTCAACTAAGTTTCTTTTCAACAGTTTCTTTCAACCCTACACCCAAGGCCGCCCTAAAGGAGCTCTAATACCCACCAATCACTAGGGCCTAGAATTCTCCCACTTTCGAGACTTCAAAGCTCTGCTACCGAAAGCACGCAGAAACCAGCAGATCATAGTTAGCAAGGAGAGAGGGAAGGAAACTGTACGAACGTCTTAAAGGCCTAAACCTGCCAGTGGAGCTTGGAAGCCATATGAGGCCGCACAAGACCTTCAAAACACTGCACATAAACTCGAAAGGATGCTCCTGACACCCGTAAGACTCATAAACCTGGAAGAAATCCTCAACCCGCAAATGTCAACAAGAAAGGCTCAAGGTAGGGTTGGCCTCATGTGGAGTGGTGCGGCCTGTACACAGTCGACGTTCTCGCTCCTCTCTAGCTCCAGCTACAGCCTCAGGCGTCTTTCTTTCCTCGGTGAATCATAGGGATCCTTTTTACTTTTTGCCGATTGGGTTTCCTAGTCGTTTACAACAGGAAGCCCATGCATGATAGGTTTTCCGTTCCTCCCTGGCAGGGACGCACTTTTGAGGGTCCACGCTTTCAGTTTACGGGTCATTCGCAGGATCAGCGTTGAAATGGCCCTGTAAAATCTGCGCCCAAGTTCTGGCAGCAGTAGCAGCAGGAGCAATAGTTTCAGTAGCAGTCGCAGAGGCAGCAGCAGGGGGTCGCTGGCAGAGCGAGATTTGTGGCATTCTCAAATGTGATGGGAAGATTGGGGGATCGTTGTATCAAGGCATTGAAGGCCTGTGGCTGAGAAAGATACTATTAACAAGTCAGCTTTTTCACCAGGGACTCGCCCTGCAGTGCGTGTCTGGCAAGTGCACATGCTACCTACGCGCCTTGTGTACCGTCAACAGCCTGCCTATTCAGGCTCCTTGTTTTGTATGCGTGTTTGTGGTTACCCTAGACCCCCTAAACCCTATAGTCTCTGGGTGTGGAGTCTGGAGATATTCGAGCTCAGTTGGCGGCAGCGATGGGGTTCTCCGGGATCGGCGGTGCCAAGCACGGGTGAGGAGCAAGCTCCGCTTGAACATCCCTTTCGAAGCTCGGCATGCAGAGTCTAGGGTTTAGGGGTGAACTATTGTTTGGGGTTGACGAACATCCCCTTCGAATCTTGGCCGCTGTAGGTATCAACCGTTACCGTTTCCGGGACATGTATCTATCGGCACACCTAGTAAAAGTCGATGGAAGCATCAACATCTTGGCATCCGATTGCGAGACGGGGGGGTGTGGGGCAGTGTAGACGTACGTAAGGAACCCTGAGCCCTAAACCGATGCACATACCCGTGAGGCGGACGGTAATTTTAGCCTCTCGCGGTTGAAACCCTAAACCCTAACCATACCCAGGCCGCGGCTTGGGCAACTAAACTTAAACCCTATAAATGAACCCTAAATCCTATGAGCCCTGTAAACCTTAAACCATATATGCCCTATATAAACCCGAAACCCTTAAGCCCTCAACCCCATAAGCCCTAAACCACAAACCCCCCAAACCCTAAACCCCGTAAACCCTACCGTACAAACCCTAAACCCTATAAACCCTAAACCCTATAACCCTATACACTCCATCAACCCTTAACCCTATAAACCCTATTCACTCTATACACCCTAAACCCTATAACTCCTAAACCCTATAATTAACTCCTATAACCCTAAACCCTATAACTCCTATAGCGTATAACCGTAAACCCTAAACCCTATAACCCCCAGAATCTCTATCCTCCCATGTCTCCCTGAAGCCAAAGCCCACGAGAACGCAATCTTCAAATATGTTTGGTGCTTGCGACCCCAGGACCGAGGTGGCTGGGAGATTCACGGCATCGGTGAGATGGGATAAGCGTTGGAGTTTAGGGGTTTAGGGGTTTAGGGGTTTAGGGTTTGGGGTTTAGGGTTGAGGGTTTTCGGG